AAGCTCTTGCAGGCCTTGGTCGGCGGGTGGGTCTCCTGGCGCTTCCACGGCTGGCGCCAGATGTCCGACGAGCAACGCCGCAACCTGGTGCAGTGCCTCCTCGGCGAGCGGAGCCCCCCGCGCCCAGGATGCGAGAGGCCTGGGCCGAGGGCTGGCCCGTGTCCCAGCGTCTTCCCGACGCCACCGGCGCCCCCCCCTCGCGAAGAAGCCGCGCCAGTGCGACGTGTGGAGTCCGTGGGCACCTCGCCCGACGAGTCCCTGCTGCTGGTCGGGCGGCACGCGCTGGGCGCCCCCAGCCCCTGGCGCCGCCTCGCCAGGTGCTCCGAGGCCCTGTGCCTGCGCGCGCCTCCGCGGTGGCAGCGCGCCCCCCGCTCCCAGGGGGGCCCCGCGCCGCCCGGCGCATGCGCCCGTGGCCCCTCCTCCTGGGCCTCCTGTCTGGGCTATACCGACCGCGACCGCACGCCGCGAGGGCTCCCGCGCCCTAGGATTAGGCTCCTCCCCCGGGGGGCTCCCCTCGCTCCCGGGGGCTGGCGGTGTCTGGGACACCGCGCCGGGCGGCCCCGCGGACGCCCCGCGGACGCCCCGCCACACGCCAGCAGCAGCTCCATCCCGAGCCTCTGCGGCGCCAGTCCTCACCGCGCCGTCTGTGCCGGGCTACCGCCCAGCTTCGCAGCCGCCCATTTCCGCGGCCAGATGACTGGGGGCCGTCCCGTCCATGGCGTCCGACGCCATGCTCCTCGGCCTCGTTTCCCAAGTGGCAGGACTACCGGGTACTGCCTTCCCCTCCTGCCGATTCCGTGAACACAACCCGGCCCGCGTGGGCCACTCGGACTGCGACCACTGCTCTCCCGGCCCCCACGCCCAGGGCTCTCCCGGCCCCCACGCCTTTCTTTCTACTCACGAGTTGCCCCTCGGCCGTTCCATCCGTTCCCTCCCTGCGGGAGTCCTCCCCGGCCGTGTCTCCCGCCGCGCCAGGCCCCGCCCCCGCCCGCCCAGGCGGTGCCTCCGCCGCGGCCCCTCGGCAGCGCCCCGCCTGCCGCATGCACCCCGGCCGCGGGAGGAGGGCCAGGCGCTGAGCGGAGCGCCCCGCGCAGCTCGCCTCTCCGTCCCCCGCCGCCTCCGTCCTTGCCTCCTCCCCACGACACTCGGGCCTGGCGAAAGGGGGGGGATAGGGAAGGGGGGGGGGTTACGAACATGTGCTGGCTTCGGCCCCACCGAGGGGCCCATTCCTCGATACGTAGCCGCCTCCGGCGCCGGGAGGCGCCTGGAAAACCAGCTGCGCGAGCTGAGCGCCCGGCCCGAGACACTGGCGGTCTTCGTCCCGCCGTGCGTCGCTGCTGCCCGGCGCGACGCCCGCCTGCTCGGTCGACTCCCTCCTCCCCGCCTGCCGTGCCCGGCCGGCGGCCGTGTGCCTGCCCGCTGGCCGCGCGCGACGTCCCCGCGTGGGGCTTCTGCCGCTCGGCAGCGCTCTCCCTCCCCGCCATCGCCATCCCTGCCCGGATGGTTGTGTGCCTTCGGCTGCTGGTGTGGTTACAGTGCCGTTTTAAATGCATGTTCCGCGTGCGGATCATGTATTAAAAATGCAGGGAACTAGTATTAAAAACAACGATGCGTTCATGCATACATCTATGTATTAAAAATCCGATGTTGAAAACATAAAAATCCGATGTATTAAACAGTGCCCTGTAGGGCGGCGATCCAAGGTGACCCCGCTTGTGGGCCCGGCCGCGCTCGCCTGCCCCGCTGCTCTCAACTTACGGTCGGACCGAGGTGCAAGGTCGAGGTCGGTTCGGGGAGGGATGCCCAAAGCTCTTCGTGCTTGCTGGACGTACATGTGCACCCTGGGGGATGGGGTTCCCTCGAGTGATCTTTATGGTTTGGGAGGTTTTGGCCGGCGGAGGGTCTCATGTTCCTGAAGGATGTTTTTTTTCGGTCCCAGGTTTCACCGTACTCCGCCTCGTCGCCGCGCGCGAGGCCGCGACCGCACAGAAGCGGGTGCGGGTACGGGCGCGAAGGCGCCCGCGGGCGGCCCAAAGCGTGCGTCCCCCAGCGGTCCGTTCACCTCGACGTCGGTCAGTCAGGCAGTTACGGCGGGTTCGGAATTTCGCCTTGTTCCGCCGCGACGCCGACGACGACGATAACGACCACGAGGAGGACGAGGAGCAGGAGGAGGACGAGGAGGAGGAGGAGAAGGAAGAGGAGTAGCAGAAGGATGAGGAGAAGGAGGAGGAGGAGGGGGGCCGGAGGAGGAGTAGGAGTAGGAGTAGGAGTAGGAGTAGGAGTAGGAGTAGGAGTAGGAGTAGGAGTAGGAGTCAAGCTAGCCAGCTCGAGCGAGTCAAGCATGGCATGCCCAGTCCCACCCGCCCTCCCACAACATAAGAAGCAAAGCTGGCACAACTGGGGGCCGAAGTCACACCGGCCAGCCGGTTTGGTACAGCTGATGCGGCCGCGATGGCGGTTGCCGACGGGAACTGGCGAGCGCGTGTTGAATGCCGCGCACGCATTGCCAGACGAGTCGAGAATGGCCCGGTACACCGCAGGAAGCCAGAGGTGGCCGGAGGAAGCCCGACGGTCTGACAGGACACCCCAAAGCATTTTTGTGAAAAAGCATTGGGTTTTTGATGTTTTTATGTTGAAATGCTTGCAAACACACGGTGTTCGGTAGGATTCTGACATGAACGCGCGAGTGTGCTCTTTGTGGTATTTTTTGCACAGGATTCGCGGCCTGGGTGCATGACAGAGCATCGCGAGTGCACCGCGCGATGACGTGAAATCGCTGGATTTGACCGAATTCTTAAGATTCCTATGGTTTTCCTATGATTTCAGCAAGAGAGCCCGGGCGGGAAATTTGTACAATTTTTGTGAAAAAGCATTGGGTTTTTGATGTTTTTATGTTGAAATGCTTGCAAACACACGGTGTTCGGTAGGATTCTGACATGAACGCGCGCGTGTGCTCTTTGTGGTATTTTTTGCAATGGATTATCGCCGTGGACGACAGGACGTCCATGTCGAGAGGAAAAAATAAGAAAAATATTGATTTTGTATTTTTTTTCCCCACATCCTGAGTGGGGTTCTTGCTTTCCCGAAACACCCTCTCCTTCCCACCCACCTCCCGCTCCATCTTCCATACAGCACAATATTATTCCTACCACACACACCATACCATACCATAGTTCCTACCACACATACCATACCATACCATACCATACCATACCACACCATACGTACCATACCGTACCATACCATACCATGGCGTACCATAGCATACCATACCATATCACACCAATGCCACACCGTACCATACCATACCATACCTCCAGTACCATACCATACCATATCATACCATACCGTACCATACCATACCTACCATACCATTCCATACCACTCCATACCGAAAACCATACTACTTACATGGTTTCGTGCCCCTCCCACCCCTCCAGGGAGGCCCCGCCTGAGCGAGGAGGGTATCGGAATACCATACTATTTACATGGTTTCGTGCCCCTCCCACCCCTCCAGGGAGGCCCCGCCTGAGCGAGGAGGGTATCGGAATACCATACTATTTACATGGTTTCGTGCCCCTCCCACCCCTCCAGGGAGGCCCCGCCTGAGCGAGGAGGGTATCGGAATACCATACTATTTACATGGTTTCGTGCCCCTCCCACCCCTCCAGGGAGGCCCCGCCTGAGCGAGGAGGGTATCGGAATACCATACTATTTACATGGTTTCGTGCCCCTCCCACCCCTCCAGGGAGGCCCCGCCTGAGCGAGGAGGGTATCGGAATACCATACTATTTACATGGTTTCGTGCCCCTCCCACCCCTCCAGGGAGGCCCCGCCTGAGCGAGGAGGGTATCGGAATACCATACTATTTACATGGTTTCGTGCCCCTCCCACCCCTCCAGGGAGGCCCCGCCTGAGCGAGGAGGGTATTCGAAAACATGTTATTTATCAGGTTTCGTGCCCCTCCCACCCCTCCAGGGAGGCCCCGCCTGAGCGAGGAGGGTATTCGCAAACCATGTGATAGAAAAGGATGGAGAGGGCGAGGGCAGGTCGGCAACTTCATGACAAAATGATCCTTGATTCCGCTATCCCAATAACATCATTATGTGGGGAACTCCGTTAGCATAATTTACAGGTTAGGATGGGACCACCCGGATGCGCCCGCTATCTGCCGGCCTGAGGGGGGAGTAGGAGTATATTCTAATAAGGAATAAGGATAGGAGGAGGAGTAGGAGGAGGAGGAGGAGGAAGAGGAGGACGAGGAGGAGGAGGAGGAGGAGGAGGAGGAGGAGGAGGAGGAGGGAGGAGGACGAGCAGGGGGAGGAGGGAGGAGCAGGAGGAGGAGGAGGAGGAGGAGGAGGGAGGAGGAGGAGGAGGAGGAGGAGGAGGAGGAGGAGGAGGAGGACGAGGAGGAGGAGGAGGACGAGCAGGGGGAGGAGGGAGGGGGAGGATTGGGAGGAGCAGGAGGAGGAGGAGGAGGAGGAGGAGGAGGAGGAGGAGGAGGAGGAGGAGGAGGAGGAGGAGAGGAGGGAGGAGGAGCAGGAGGAGGAGCAGGGGGAGGAGGAGGGGGAGGATTGGGAGGTGCAGGAGGAGGAGGAGGAGGAGAAGGAGGAGGAAGAGGAGGAGAAGGAGGAGGAGGAGGAGGAGGTGCGAGTTCATTACCCTACGAGAAAAGCAGGGGGGAGGGGTCTAAAACTCGACCTCCTGAGGACATTTTTTTAATGCTTCCAATTGTGTTGTTTTTCAAAGATGTTGGCTTCTTACGCTGACCCTCGGGGCTTCCAAGGCGGCTCAACAGGCCTCCAAGATGGCTTTTGGGCGGGCCCTTTTAGACCATAGTATAATGTGCTGTGAGGCTTGGCCCCCAAGGATATTCCATTCACCTCGGGGCAAGATCACGCGTCGAACCCCAGCAGCGCCCAAGAGCGCTCGGAAATTCCGCGAGTTCGTGGTCAGGGGGCCTTCAAGGGCGTCCGCATTGCATTGGATGTCGAGGACAAATGGGCCTGAGGATACTACACACAGTGCCTACGGCACGGTGGCGTATCACCGCGTGCCGCGGCCTGTCGTACGAGCCCCGCTCTGAGGGCGACGACCAGTGGCCGGAACTTTCTAAGCTGGGCCAGACGGGCAAGATTGAGGCCGAAAGGGGCGACGGCAATTGGTTCGGCGCGGAGGCCGCGGCGGCCGAGCTGAAGGCGATACAGGCCAGGGAGCGGGCGGCGCAGGCCGAGACGAAAGACGGCATGTCCGAGCGGCAGCTGCAGGCCATCATGAACCACGCGAACTCCGAGGTCAGCAATGTGGTTAGCAAGGAGGAGCTGATGGAGCACGTGGAGAGCTCCATGGCGCGCGAGCTCACCGTTGAGGACCGTGAGATGGAGGACTTCCTGCGAAAGGGGAACAAGATACTCAAAGAAGACGAGGAGTACAATTTCAAGAAAGCGAAGGGGAGGCTGTTCAAGAAAGACGAGCCAGAGTACGACGTTCCGAAAGACAAGGCTGTGAAGATCCAAGTGCACAAGCAGGAACAAGCACAAGCTCAAGAGGATGAAAGGAGACGAATCAGTGCCTGCACTCCTCCCATCTCGCCCTCCTCTCTATCCTTCTTTCGGCTGCTCCCCCTCCCCCTCCCTCCTCTTTCCCCTCGCCCTTCTCTCCCCCCCTCTCCGAGGAAAGCCAGGCCGCCAAGGATATCGTGCTAGCGCGCAAGGGGTGGGCCAAGATCGAGGCGAAGGAGAAGGCGTATGAGCACGAACGCGGACTGATGGAGCACGAAATCGGTGTGAGGCTCTTCTCCCCCTTGCTCTCCTCCTGCTCTTCTTCTTCTCCTCCCGTCCAATGTCTCTCTTCTCCGCCTGCCTGTTGGAGTTGTTTGCCGCTTCTGTATATCTCATATGTCGCCGCGCCGTTTGTTCCGACGCGCGGCCTCACGGCCTGGGAAGGGCGCCTCGGCCAACAGGGCAGACGTCGCCTCGGGCTCGGTGGGTTTGCTGCGGTGCCGGCTTCGTCTGCTGGGGCGCGGGGCGCAGGGTTTGCCGTGGGTTTGCAGAGGTATCGGCTTCGTCCATGTGGGCGCGTTCAGAACGCACGGCGCGGCGACAGATCCTCTGGCGATGAAGTACGTTGTTTGGGGGGAGGGAGGAGGAAGTGGGGAGGGCACTTCACGTCACAATTTGCGCTGGCGCCACGTGGGAACTGGATGCCCGCAGACATTCCCAGACGGCCCTGCCCCGAATCGTGTCGCTGCCAGGTGGGGGTTGGAAGGGGGTGGTGGTAGGGGGTACGGGTGGGCGTTATCGCGAACATTTTCACTAACGAGCTCCCAACGGTGTGCCACCCCCCTTGATCATCGCCAGCTTGATTGTGCAAGACGCGGTCCGATGAGATTAGTTCCCCCCGTCACTACTACCAAGGTATTAAATTCCGCCGTCGAGATCACTGGCGAATCCAGACCAGACGAGCCGTACATTTAGCAGCTCGTATCGGAGCTCGTATCGGACAAGCGGTGTTTTCGGGGGGGACCTCATTTTCCACTCCTCCTCTAACCTGACCCCCTTCTGTGAGGCTCTCGAAGCAGGCGGATGCCATGCGCCGGGAGGCAGCCAACGGCACCATAACTGTGGACGAGATTGTGACTTTGCTCGACGTTACGGCGCAGGATTACGACAACATGACCCGCACCATCGCTGGCTTCGGGCGTACAAATATGACCGGCGTGTGGATCGAGGAGAAGCTGCGAGAGTCTGGCTTGAAGACCGCTGGCGCCTCCGCCAAGATGCTCGGTGCAGTCAACCACTCGGTGGAAGAGTTCAAGAACAGCCACCGTGACTACGACGATCATCAGTTCTTGGCAACATTGGCCCATCTCCTCAACGAGACCAAGTCTGAGATCATCAGCTTTCAGCAAACAAAGGATAAGCTCGCAAACCGTCTGCAGCACTGGGATGGGGCCAACGGCGAGAAGCTCACCTACAATCTGGCAGTGGCCCTCCAAGGAGTGACAGACAGCGTCGAGTTCAGGACATTGTATAGATATACGTACATCTGTTTCTATATGCATCTGTGCCTGATTGCATAGTCTCTACGTTGTTACCCGAACAGTGCTTGCACTGAGGGGCTTCTACTTCTGGTCCAGGGAACTGGGCCTGCGCGTCGGTTTGGCGGCTAGGCAGCCACGGTCGCCGCCCAGTCGCTGCCCGTCGCCGGAGCCTGCGCGTCAGTCTCGCCGCCATGTCGCCGCAGTCGCCGCCTCGTCGCCGCCGCGTCGCCGCCGCTGTCCGGGGCGTGCGCGCCGCTCTGACCGCTGCGTCGCCGCCGTCGCCCCGTCGTCGCCGCCCGGCGCCTCGTCGCCGTCCGCTTCGCATTGCTTCGCAGTGCTTCGCACTGCTTTCCATTGCTTTGCATTGCTTTCCATTGCGTTGCATTGCTTTGCATTGCTCTGCGTTGCTTGGTATTGCTCTGCGTTGCTTGGCATTGCTGTGAGCCGCTTGGCATTCCCTGGGGTTGATTCGCATTGCTCGGCGTTGCCTTGCATCGCTTTGCATTACTTTGCCCAATAAGATGTTGGTTAGCATTGTTCTAGTTGCGTTGCTTTTTGCTCACTTACATTGCTTTGCATTGCTCTGCATGCGCCATGTTGCTTATACCACAGGTGTTGTACCACATGTATTGCACCACTCATATTGCACCACGTCGCTCACACCACATGTAGTGCAGTGCATAGCTCACGCCGCACATCTTGCAGCACATCGATCGACCCTCCTTTCCAACAAACAAATTGGAACTACCTCCCCCCCAGTCTCAATCGCCCCCTTTTGGTATTGCATGTTACATATGATTTTGCCCCATTGCCCATTCTAAGTATGAACTTGTTCCATCCCACCCCAACCGGCGTCGACCCCCCCCCGGAATCTTTTGCCAAACATGCGATGCGCGCGCTCTGGCTGATTAAAAATTACTAGTTTTCGATAATCCCTGGCAACAAAGTTGGACGAACTGCGCACGGAATCCTTGAAACCACCTTCGGCTTATTAGGAGTATCAGAATGAACGCCACGAAAGCATATAATGACAAATGGTTTTGCAACCCGGATTTTCAAGCAAAAAGTTTGCGCCCGCGCTGTTGCGAATTCTTCATAAAACCATCGGCTTTTCATCATTTTCATACAATGTTTCCAAATTCGCCTTTCGCGCGCGTGTCGAAATCATTCGCGCGCGCTGCCGCGCAAGTCCATGACACATTTTTGAACGACATGCACGCGCGCGTCGTCGCGCGCGCACGACGAAATCCTTGCTCAAGCTTCGTTATCGAAGGGATTTCAAAATCGAGTGCCCCGAAAACTTCAGAACACATGGTTTTGCAACACCAATTTTCACAACATCCTGCGCTCGCGCTCTTGCGGGTGCTTCAGACAACCATTTATTTCCAAATAGAACATCACATTATGCCAGACAGGCCTCTCGCGCCGCATGTCGAACCCATTCGAACGCCCCTGCGCGCGTGCTGGGGGGGGGGCACGATCTGTGCCAAGTGATACCACGCGGACCACTCGCGCGCGTCGGCCGCGCGCGCATGGCGAAATCCTTCAAGAGCCTTCATCGCCGACACGAAGACACCGTCATCGTTATCGGCGTGCATGACCAACATCGGCGCCATCATTGGCCATGCCATCGTCATCTCCACCATCGTCACCACCAGCGTTCATATTATCATCTCGTCAACCGTTTTCGACCTTGCCATGATACCGCGCCCGACCAAGTCGCCCACTCGCACTGAAGTGCCCGCTGGGAAGTGCCCAGTGGTCAGCGCCTCGAATCTTCCTAGCCAGGCTGGTATTCCCCCCTGTCATTCTTGGCAGGGAAAACATCCCACGCTTCCCTTGGACAGAAAAAGGGACGAAGTGCACACGTGCGCGTCGTCGCGCGCATGCCGCAATCCTTCAACAACCGTGGGTTTCGTAAGGGTTTCAAAATCGAGTGTCCCGGAAGCACAAAGAACATGGTTTTGCAACATCGGTTTTCAAACGAAGCCTGTGCCCACGTCCTTGCGAACTCTTAAACGTGCCGTACGTTCTCCAACATTCTGATCACCACTCTCCCATACGTGCCTCTCGCGCGCATGTCGAAATCATTTGGCCGCAATTGCGCGCGTGCTGGCGGGTGGCGGGGGTAGGACCCGTGTCAAATTACACTATGCGGGCCATTCTCGCGCGTCGTCCGCGCGTGCATGTCGAACTCCTTCCAACACTTTTTCGGCACCGACGCGAGGACGCCGTCATCGTCATTGGCGTGATCAGCATAAGTGCCGTCACTGGCCCTGCCGACGCCGTAGTTGTCATCGTCACCACCAGCGCTCATATCATCATCGCGTCAACCGTTGTCGACCTTGCCATGATACCGCGCCCGACCAAATCGCCGACTCGCACTGAAGTGCCCACTTGGAAGTGCCCAGCGGTCAGCGCCCCCGCGGCCGCGTCGGTCGCGCCAAACTAGCTGGCAGCTGCGCGCGCGATCATGCGCGCAAACGCGGCCGCGGCGATGCGCCAACCAGCATCAAGCAGGCATCGCAATCGTCGCCACATGGGTTTTGCAAACCAAGTTGCGGGGGGGTTCGTGGGATGTTTGCGCGAGCAACGGAGTTGACAATTTCAAGTTCGGCAGGGTGCGTTGCACCACGTAGGCTGCACCACGTCGCCTGCACCACATAATTTGCACCACGTAGTTACCACGCAGATTGCACCTCAAGTATTGCGCAACATATATTACACCACGTTGTTTGCTAGAGCACACTGTTTTGGGTCCACGCCGGCTTCCGTTAAGTGCATACATTATACGCATGCTCGTCGTCGGGTGAGGTGGAGGGGAGGAGGAGGACGAGGAGGACGAGGAGGAGGAGGAAAAGGAGGGGGAGGAGGGGGAGGAGGAGGAGGAGGAGGAGGACGACGAGGAGGAGTAGGAGGAGGGGCTCAGGAATCACCTCTTGCATATCGACGCGGCCGGCCTGGCACACGCGAGCGTGAGCGAGGCATGCGATTTGCTCAGCAACGTCGTCCACGACAGTATGCAGCCGGCCTACAAGAGCGTCTTGTTGCAGAGGCAAAGGTCTGGACGCCCGACATGGGCACCGAAGGAATGGGTCCAATGCCCGACAGCAGTTCCTGTTCATTTTGAACAGGACTCGCTGTCCGCGCCGCCGCGGCCTGTGTCCATTCGAGACAGGAGGCCGCCTGCCCAACAGCGGCCGCTGTTGCTTTGGGACAACATTTGCTGTTGGGCATAGTACCCATTTTTTCGGTACCCGTGTCGGGCGTCCAAAAAAGGCTCGATGAAATGAGCAAGATCGCTCCGAGCGTCATCATGACGCTGCCCTCCAACACTCAGGGCACGATGGCAAAGCGCACCGCCGCCGTGGTGAACATGGCCTACGTGGAGCACTTGGCGCTCATGGAGTCCGCGACCATGATCTTGAAAGAGGCCGCGCCGATTGTCATGCAGCGCCTTCACTGCAACATGAAAAGCGCATCCCCGCGCGCGGGCTTTGTCACCGCCCTCTTCGCCGCTGTCGCGGCCTGGCTGGCGCAGTGAGTGCCTGGCCGCGGCTGCACTGCTTCGCTCCGCCATGGCACGCCCGCGCGTGTACTCTTGCACCGCTTTCTCAACGAGGCTTCCCATCCTCCTCCCTGCACAGACGGGACGGGGGGACGGGAACGGGGTGGGGGAGGAGGGCGCGTGGGAAGGCACTCGTGTTCTCTCGCGTGTATATTTGTGTGCGTGTGGGTTGCCATTTTGTGGCAGACGCGTTCCGTTACCATGTGCCCGTCGATTGGAGCCATCGGCGCGTCAGAGGAAACGGGTGAAAGTGTGTGTGTGTGTGTGTGTGTAAGTGTGTGTGTGTGTGTGTGTGCGTGTTTGCATGTTTATGTTGGGCCTATGGTTGATGGTTTTGTTTCGTGGCCGTGCGAAGCCGTCATTTGAGGGAACTTTCTGTGGAACTCGCGCCATCCTGACTGTCAGCCCCCAGCGCGTGAGAAGCCAGGACCCACCGCGCACCCACGGACCAGTCCCGGGGAGCGCACGTGGCGCGCCGGGCGTGTCCCAGTCCGATGCCCTCGCGCAAGACAGCCTCGCAACGTCGAGCCCCCGGCGCGTGCGCAAGCCGGGCCCCGCCGCGCCCCGGACCGTGTCTTGTCAGGAGCGAAAGAAGGACGTACATGTACATGAATCCACGCTGGTTTCGAGAGCACGCATTGCACAATGTTCGTATAACGCGGCCGGTCTCGCGAATCGAGGGGCCGTGTTCATGTGCATAGCTGGGCGCGTACGTCCTTTGTGGGCTCCCTATCTTGGGGAGCGCAGCAGGCGCGCCCAGCGTGTCCCCGTCCAGGGCTCTCGCCCAAGACATCCTCGCAGGGTCGCCGGCGGAGGCCCCCAGCAGCTGGAGGAGGAAGAAGAGGAGGAGGAGGAGGAGGAGAATAAGGAGGTGGAGGAGGAGGAGGATGAGGAGGAGGACGAGGAGGACGAGGAGGATGAGGAGGAGGAGGAGGAGGAGGAGGAGGAGGAGGAGGAGGAGGAGGAGGAGGAGGAGGAGGAGGAGGAGGAGGAGGATGATAAATGCGGGAGGGGTTGCCGCGCCCCGTGCGTGGCTCAAGGCCCCCCCAAAAGGGCCGCCGCGCGCTCCCGCAGGTTATGAGCCCGGCGCGATGGCCTTAGATCTGCTTTCGGGATCCAGGTTCGATGGCCATCGATCCTAGGGACATTCCGATTCCAGACTTCGACGACCCAGATCTCGATGACGATTTTCGTCCGGCCGATCGTGATCGTGTCGTTCCCGTTTCACACTTGTTTCACACACCTTTGACACAGACTACTTTCACTGTGACGGACAGTCGCGACGCTGCGCCACGTCCGACTGGAAGCACAGTTCGCGGTGGGTGCCCGGCCACACCACCACCACGACAACAACCTAAACACACTCTGCGTGCCGACACGGACAGTCGCGATGCTGCGCCACGTCCGACTGGAAGTGTTGAGCACCGGCCACAACAGGGACAGCACTCAGGAACAACACCACACCCACAGGACACCACGCAAGCCTTCCTCATGGCACAAATGGGGGAGAGCTTAGCCGAAGTGGCTCGCGAGCTCTCTGCTGCCCGCTCCGGCGGCGACGGTGGCAAGCACCCGTTGCCCGCCTTGCCGGGCGGCGCAAAAGGCCGCGCGTTGCCGAGCGTTTCCGCTTGGCGCGCTTGGACCCAGACAAAGCTGGCTGGGTGGTGTGGGCTGCAGTCGCAGGGGTTCGCGGAGGCCGTCCTTGCGTCCCTCGGCGGCCCTACTTCGGACGTTTCCTGTGTGCACAGCGAGCCCCGGTTCGCCAAGGCCAACAGAAACCTTGCGTTTGAATTGTGCGCGCACGCCAGCGACGACACAAGCCTCTACTGGACAGGTGTTGCTCGCACGGACGGGGTGTCCATGCTTGCCTCACTCCACGACGCCATAATGGCTTCGGCCACGGCGCACACTGCAACCTTGCACGACAAGTTTGCGTCACCAGTGCCGGTCTCAGACCACAGCAAGCTCCAACGCGCTCTGAAAGTGTGGCAGGCGGAGCTCTCCGAGCTTCGTGCCGCCGACTCTGAGCCGTCAAAGCACACGGTGCTTCGGTCTCTGCGACAGCTGTTGGGCAAGTTAGACGTCCTGCGAGTCCCCCTTGAGATCGTGGAGATGTCCTCCCCGGACAACCCGGACGCCATCTTCAAAATGGCGGAAGCCAAAGCAGGGCACTGGGCTGGAGAGGCGACCTCATCGCAACAGGTGAGGGTACCGGCGAACGCAGTGCGCGCCGACAGAAACGACAAAGGGAAAGACAAAAACAAAGACAAACGCAAGAACAACAACGGCAAGGGCAAGGACCAGCAAACTTGGATCCCATGTTCTTTCTACCTCAGCGGGTACTGCCGCTGGGGCAACACCTGCAAGTTCTACCACTCTAGCAACGACGCGAGCAAGTCCTTACCAAAGGATGTGTGCCGCATCTGCCACCAGCCCGGACACTGGGGCAACGAATGCCCGAACAGAGGACTCCCTGGGGTGGGGCCCGGGGCGGGAAAAGGACAACCCGGGGTGGGGCCCGGGCCAAAAGGGGACGCCCAAACCAACTGGAAAGGCTTCGGAAAAGGATGGGGCAACGACGCGCCCACGTCCGCGCCTCCTGGTCTTGAGACCGAGGAGAGCCGGAAGCGCAGCCGGATCGGAGCCGGCGTGCTGTCCGGCGAAACAGCTGGATCGGAACCGGCGCCAACAACACAACAGTCCGCGGCAAACATGGCAGCTTTCACCCAGATGGCACAGCAGCTGATGAACGAGCAGAAAACCAACTACAAAGCAGTGAAGGATATTCTGGAGCGCGTTTCCGGGAACATGCTCCGAATCTCCACTCCCAACCTCACCCTCGGGGTCAACAGCGTCACTGCGGATTCGCCCCTGGCGATGGCGGCGGATTCGGGTGCCGAAAGACACGTGTTTGCAGGCAAGGATTTCTGGCACGCCAGAAACACCCGCCCTCTCGACGCGCCCCTCATTCTCGAGACGGCGAACGGCGAGACCGTCGTCACGCACCAGTGCGACGTCGTGTGCGGAGGCGTTCTCCTTCAAGGCGTCCTGATGTGCAAGACCGCAACATCGTCCCTTCTAGCAATCGTCCTCCTGACAGACGAGGAATGGCAGTACCGCCAGGCTCGAGCCGGCGCTGTCTTGACGGACCCCGCCGGGACACCTTTCTTTCTACACAGGTCTGGCAACTTGTTCATCCTCGTGGCTACTAGTACTACACCTACCCCTTCACCATTACCATCTTCGTCACCATCATCATGGGGAAGGGGAGAGGGAGGAGGAAGAGGAGAGACGGGAGTAGATCGCAATGAGGGTTTTGCTGGGTCGGCGTTTCGCAACCAGGGTTCTGCGGAGGAGGATGACAGTCGCGCCGCTGCGCCACGGCCGACTGGATTCCGGGAGCCCGGCGGCGTGGCGGACAGTCGTGCTGCTGAGCCACGGCCGACTGGAAGCCCGTCGCCGGCCGCAACTTCGCCAGAGGGTCGCGGCGGGTCGTGGGCACCAAGCACGTTCGAAATGTATGCTGCCAGCGTGCGGGAGGAGCCCGTCCTGGTGGTGAACTCCCCGGAGGCGTTCCAGCAGTACTCTGAACGTGGCGACCCTTCGAAAATGATGTTGTACCTCCCAGAGCGTAAAAGCCCGCCGAGCGAGATGGACCCTGCGTTCCTTATCCATTTTAGGAAGGGCCACGCGGAGCACGACCCGAAATGCGACGTCTGCGTGCAGGCGAGGCTTCGTGCTCGCCCGGCCCGGCGGGTGCACCAGGAGTCTCCTGGAGGAGAGGTTTCTTCAGACCTCTCCGGCCCCCTGCCCGTCAGCCTAAACGGTAACAAGTACGCCCTCGTAACTGTAATCCGGCTTTCCAGGCATGGCTTTGCAAACCCGTTGCCAAACAAAGAGTCTCAAACAGTGCGAGACGCGATGATCGATTGCAAGCTCGATCAGCGACGGTTGTGGCGATTCCATTCGGACGGCGGCGGAGAGTTTAAGGGGGAAGTGGACAGGTGGCTCCGGGAATGCGGTCTCGTTCACACCGACACTGGCGGATATAGGTCACAGGCCAACGGGATTGCCGAACGACGCATCCAAGAGTTGTTCGAGATCGTTCGGGCGCTCCTTCTGCAATCGGCCGCACCCAAGAACTCTGGGACGAAGCACTCGTGCACGCAAGCGCCTTGTTCAACAACACCCCCAGAACCGTACCAGGACACGACGGTAAGGTAGTTCCTCAAGTACTCGAAACTAGTAGTAGCGAGGACGTAAGCAAATGGCCACCTTGGGGGTGCAAGTGTTTTTACCTGATCCCCAAACCGGTGCGGACGGACAAACTAGACGGAGTTGCTCGACTAGGCGTGTTCGTCGGTTTCGACTCGAAAACGGTCAATGGGGTGAGGGTTGCGCCGATTATGTGTTGTGGGGGCGAGTGGGTTGTCGAAAAACCGATCGTCTCGACCACTGTCCGCACTGTCGACGCCGAGTTCCCCCTGAAGACTCGCGGTGGTAAGCTCGACCCCCTCGACGGCGTCTTCGACTTCCCGGACTCGGATACACCCCGCTCCTGGAAGGACTCCGCGGCTGCGGAGACCGGCGCGGCGGCGCCGGCGGCGGGTCCACAGGCGGCGGCAGGGGACAGTCGAGGTGTTGCGCCACGCCCGACTGGAACCGCCGCCCCTGACGGCCCCGCAGCACAGGCCACAGCACAACCACGACGTCCCAACAACCGTTTCGCCACGGTTGAGGAGCAGCGCGCCTACTGGCGCGAGCGTAAACGAGAGCAGGTTCGTAAACGCGTCCGGTCCAACCTCCTGGCCACGTCCGTAGAGAGCCATGGTGGCGATGAGTCCGATTGGGACAGCGTCAGTGCGTGTAGCACTCCTTCGTCTTTCGCGTCCAATGCGTCCGACAGCGATGACGTCCAGCCGGATTTGTCTCGAGATGAGGTGGCTGCGTTGGCGACTGCGGCTCGCTCGCTCCAGCCATTGCGTTCCGTAGGCGCCGCTGCCGTTACGACGGGGCCTGGCGATGATGTTTTCCGCGTTTTCGCGAGTGTCATTACTGCCCAGGACCCCGTCGCCGAGACGTTGTACGTCTTAGGCCGTCAGGCGGCGCATGTCACGCAGCTGATGGACACGAAACTGTATCTCCAACGCCCAGATGGCCGCGGAGCTCAGGCGGCGGCCAAGGAGTTCGATCGTATGGCCGAGCACCCCGTGTGGCTTGCGCCACAAGAGCTGTCGTCGATTCCGGAGGGCGCCCGAGTTGTCAAAGGGAAACTCCTGATCTCTGAGAAGAACTGGGAGCAACCAGAAGCACTTCACGAGTGCAAGGCCCGTTTCGTAGCCATGGGTAACGTCTTGTTCGACAAGCGTATGAAGGTAGTACGTTCGCCCTCCGAGTCGTTATGGGCGCCCGTAGCTAGCCTCACCGGCGCCCGTTTCGTCCAGGCACGCTCTCTCGCGATGGGTCACGAGACGGAGACAATCGATCTTCTTAGTGCGTATCTTCAGGTACATCTAGGAGGAGAGGAGGAGTATTACATCATCATCCCCGCTGAAGTCATCGACATTCTGCCGCCGCACGTCCAACAGCAGTTCCGCTCGTTGAAGATGCCTGTGTGTAGATTGGTCCGTGCGCTGTATGGTCTTCAGCGTTCTGGTTCGGATTTCATAACCGCTTTCACCCAGTGGCTCCTTTGGAACAGGTGGCAGTTCATGGAAGAGGAGCCGGCTGTATTCTATTTGTGGCACGGGGACTCCGACCGTGAAGCCATGCAGCACGCTGCAAAACTGAAGGTGTGGGTCGATGCCGAACACGCTGCCGGCAGGAACCCTTCCTCTTCCGGTTCACAGTCCAGCCACACGTCGTGGCGTGACGTCTCCCTGTCCTTGGCCTCGTCGCAACACCGTGTACGAAGGAGTTCCAAACAGTGCAGCACAATGGCAACTTACGTCGACGATTGCGAACTGGACGCTGGCAAACGCCACCGAACCCACATTTGGGATGTCATCAGAGTAGGCTTCAGCAGCAAGGCCCCAGAGGTTGTCCGCAAGTTCCTTGGCTGCTCGTGCAGCGTCCCTCGCCAGATGACTCTTGCAGATGGTCGGACAGGAGTCGCCGTCGTCTTGTCCCAGTCGGAGTACTGCCAGAGGATCGTCCGAGACTACGAGGCGGTTGTCGGCTACAGCGTAAGACCCGTCACAACACCAGCGCAACAAACGACCCCTCCTCGACCAGAGGATCTGGCGCCAGCAGAGGCGGGAACCGGTCGCCGTAGGATTATCGGTGAGGCCTTTTACGCAGCTCGTTGGACGAGGCCGGACTTCTCGTTTGCAGTTGGCCGTCTCGCTCGGTATGTCGACAAATGGTGCCCTTGGGCAGAGGCAGAGCTTGGCCACTTCGTCGGTTACGTCCTCTTCAGCTCGGAGCTTGGCCTCGTGATGCTAAATTCTGGGGATTCTTGGGACGACTTGGAGCTCCATGCCTGGAGCGACGCAGATTTTTCTGCGCCCAAGAGCACCACGGGCTTCTACCTGGAGCTGACCGGCCCGAAGGGTTCCCAGTACCCGCTGTCGTGGGGAGCTGCCAGACAGGATGTTACGACCACTAGCTCTGGAGAGTCGGAGGCTCTCGCCTGGAGCAAAACGGCGAAACAAAGTATAAGGGTAGCCGCCATGATCGAGTACACCCGTGCTGCTCCGGTTGTCGTCCGGGGCCACCTCGACAACCAAGCCGTGCAGCTCGCAATCCAGAAGGGGTATAGCCCAAAACTCGGGCACCTCAAAAAGCACGCGGAGGTGAGCTTGCTCTTCCTTAACCAGTGCGGGGTACTGCCAGAACACACGCCAGGGACCGAAAACATCGGCGATGCATTCACGAAAGCACTAGGACACAACAAGTTGATGTACCTCGTCGGTAGGTTGTTCGGTATTCCTGTTACCCAGTTTCCCAATGGTTCGGTTAAGGTTGGGATGCTAAGGTTGGCTACACCGGGTGCCTCTTCATCATCATCATCGTCAGCAGCATCTGGAGAGCACGTGGAGATGTTCCCGGGGCAGAGGATGGTGGAGCGCACCGCCAGGGCCGTAATGTTGGACAACGCACAGTACTTGGGGCAGCTCGCTGGGAAGTGCGACACGAACCAGCCACTCCAGGCCGAGCGGCGCGAAGAGCTGTTGGATCTGCAGGGCCAGCAGCTCTGGAAGGCTGACCGCCTTCAGGAGCGCATCCGGGCAGACGCGGCCGGCGCGGCCGCCAGGAGGGAAGGTGACAGTCGCGCTGCTGCGCCACGGCCGACTGGATCCGACCGGTGGCGCGCCGACGTGGCCGCGAAGGTGCCGAAGTGGGTCGCAAGCCACAAGGGGCATGAGCGGAATCGTGCCAGGGCAGACCCTCGCCCAGAGCTCGTCCCGGACGCGCCGCAGGACACCGGCCCCGAGCAGCAGGCGCGGGTCGTGCAGGTCGTGATCGACAAGCACCCGCGCGACGACATGTTCACGGCGCTGGTGAACAACCCGCTAACCGGGGCAGAGGAGACGCAGTTCGGCATCCAGCGCGAGGCCCGTTTCTGCCATTTGTGGGCGGAGATCGGTCGCAGGGTCCCGGGTGCAATCGCATTGGTGTCGGAGAAGAACGTTCCGCTGCGGACCCTCCGCGGCGACTACCTGGTGAAAGACATCCCAGACCTGGACAACGACCTCTTGGAGATGAACCTCTCCACCCCCGAGACCTGGGAGCTGCCTTACTTGCGGGGCCCCCGCAACCTCACCCGCAAGCCTCCCAACGAGGCACAGAAGGCCCGGATGCGGAGCAACCGGACGGCGAACAAGCGGGTGCTGAAGGGCGCGCTCAAGCACGCCACGCCGAAGAGCAAGGCGGCCCCCAAGAGGTTTCCTGGTGCAACCTCCAAGGCTGCCGGCGCTCCTCCGGCGACCTGGTCTACTGAGCCAGGAACTTCTGAGTGAACGTATCTAGGCAAGGATGTGAAAATCCACGGAGAGAGTAGACAATATTTGGCGCAAGTTAGTTCTGTAGTCTGTAGCTGGCCCCCTTTTGTAATCTACCGCACTGTACTGACATCATTTGCAAATGTAATCTTCTTAGCACGGTGCATTTTTTTCTCTGCGGGTGCACATCAGATCCCCTCTCTCGTCGTCCTCCCCCTCTATCTGTTGTGCCACCCGGCCCAGAGAAGACTTTCAGAACCGAGCCCTCTTGCACGGTCGCCACAGGCCCGCGGCGCGGCAAGGCGGCGTGCGGGAGGGGTTGCCGCGCCCCGTGCGTGGCTCAAGGCCCCCCCAAAAGGGCCGCCGCGCGCTCCCGCAATAAAGAGGAGGCGGAGGAGGAGGAGGAGGAGGAGGAGGAGGAGGAGGAGGAGGAGGAGGAGGTGGAGTGATAAGGTAGCTCCTCGCTATGTTGATTCTCACCTTCTTGATGGCTCCCCTATGGGCCCTCGCCCCTCTGATGCTCACCCTCGTGTTCCTCACTCTTCCGATTCTCGCTCTCCTCACCGTCACCCTCCTGCTTCACGATCCTGATCCTCACCCTCCTCATGCTCATTCTCATTATGCTGATCCTCGCCCTCCTCGTGATTCTCATTCTGTCGATCCTCACTCTGCTGATCTTCCCTCTCCTGCTCTACATGCGCCCGATCCTCACCCCTTGCTGATCTTAGATCTTCATTGTCCTGATCCTCGCTCTCCTGACCCTCATTCTCCACGTTCTCACGGTGACTCTCACTCGCTGGATGTTCCCCCTCGCGAGCCGCGCCTTGTTGATCCTCATCCTCCTCATCCTCACCCGCTGCACCACCGCCTCACGTGCGCGCCCATTTTCTTTCCATATATATTCACATATAAATATACACACGCAAAGACTCCAGAGCGGCTGTTACTCCTAGCGTCGAGCCCGATTTGTGTTCATGTGCTTGATCAAGTCCTTGCGGTTTTGGCCTTCCAAACAAACGTGTGCTGCAAACAACTGATGGGTTCGGAACCTCTTGCTTAGATTTGTCTCAGGCGTGCGTCTAAGCTTTACGTGGTGCATACTCAAGTAGGCTTTGCCTGATACGGGTCGCAACATATCTGAGTGAGAGATACCGACGCTGTTTGCTTCTGTTATTGGTCCGTTCGGGTCATTGATATCTTCCATTCCTTGCGTGGTGGGTGAGGGCAGGCGGGAACGGGAGGTGAGAGGATGGCCGTGGCGAGGTGGGGGTAGAGGGCGGGAGAGGGCGGAGGCGAGGCGTGTGGTTGGCGATGCGCCACGAGGACGAGCCGCTCAGCCCCGACGTTCCAGGCCGGGTCGAAGAGCTGACCTCCGCCTGGCCCTGCGAGGTGATGGCGCTGTGCCCCGTGTGCTGGGTCCCGCCTCCGGGAGAGCCGTCGAATGGCGTCGGGGGGCACTCTTCGCGCTGGCGGCGCGCACCGGGGGGCGGCGCGAAGGGAGTGGCCTTCCCAAAAACGAGGGGCGCTTCTTAGGAAGCGAGGTGTCTCTCCCTGGAGTAAGAGATGTTGCCGCGCATGTTGTCGTTCGTCACTTGCAGGCCCCAGGCCATTTCTGATTTCACCACGTCGAGGGATTCTTTGACATTTGCTTTTCCAGCGAGCCCGACCGCCCTCCAGGGGCCCGGGCGCGAGCGCCCCCCGCACCGCTGCTTCCCGCCTCCCGCCCCTTGCGCAGAAAGGGCCCAGCGGCTTCTGAGGATGCCTCTGAGAGGTCAGCAGAGCTTCCAGAAGGACCGCTGCCTTCTCTGAAGCCCCCCCTGCGGGTCCGTTCGATCCCATCCATCCGATCCGACACCAGCTCCGCCGGCCCGATCCGGTTCAACTTCGACGCTCTAGCGATCCGATGCGGCCCGACGTTCCCGTGGCGCTGTGGTGCATCCTGACGCGGCCGATCCGAGTCGGTTCCAGCTCCCGTGGCCATGCGGCCCGACCTTCGATGCACGTCTCAGTCCGATCCGACCTCCCGTTCCGATGCCGACCGCTCTTGACCTTGGCAACGACAGGAGAGGGGACCGGCTCCGGGGGCAAGCATTGGAGGGCCACATGCGAACCCTACCCCTACCCCCCACGATTTCCGAGGGGGAGGGTTCGCATGTGCCCCCCTAAGCATCGACCTCCAATCGCCTGCTCATCGCCGAGAAGAGGGCCGATAGCCCGGCTCGCCCAGGGAAGTGCGGTGCCCCCTTCGGGGGCCCGTCGCCAATCTTCCCGCGACGTATCGCCGATCCGAGCTCGACGATGCCCCCCCCTCTCCGAGCTGCCCCCCCCCCGCACTGTTTTTCCCTGCGCCGCTCGTTCTCGGAAGCCCCGTCCGACCGCCGGACGTCTCAGCTCCAGGAGTATATAGATCGCTCCCCGCCCTCGCGCGGCTGCCCGCGGCTGCCCTCAGAGTGCGCCGGCGCTGGCGCCCGCGCGCTGCCCTGCCAGGAGGCCGTCCCCCCTCCGTGCCGCCCGCGTGGTGCGCGCCGCCAGGCGTCCCCGGGGGGGTGCGCTCCCCGGCCTCGGACGCGGGCGCAGCGCCCGCGGAAGCCCGCCAGGGCCGGGGCCCGTCGCCAGACGGAGCTATATAGGGCGAGGACAGTCAAGCAGTGGCGAAGCGTCCTGGCTCGCCTATATAGCCCTACCAAACAGTGTTCTGAGAACCTTTTGTGGCTTCCACGAAGTGTTTTTCGAACAGTTCTGGCAGAGCCTGTCTTGGTTTATCACATCGGGTGTACGTTCTGAGAACATGGTTTTCGTTCTTAGAACATTTTTGGGTTCTAAGAGCATTTCGTGGTAGGACTATAGTACAACAGGGCCAGGTTCGGGATAAATCGCTCCAGAGCGTTCCGGAGCGCTCTCAGAGCGCTCCGGAACGCTCTGGAGCGGCCGCGGCGCCCAACACATCCTCCAAACCCGCCGATTCTCAGAGATTTCGAGTTACCCCGATCCGATTTTGTCCCGATCTTCGCGTCGTTTTCTATAGGCATGCTGGGACGGGCGGTCCCTGCTCAGGACAGCTCCGTTCCGGGGCGGTCTCGGGGCGCTCTCGGGGGGCGCTTTGGCGGCACGCGCAGAGATTGGCCTGGGGGCGATTTCCCCGAGTCTTTTGGACTGGTTTTGAACTCTTTTGGGGCCTGCTTCCCAGTTCTTGGGGCGCTCTCGGGGCGCTCTCGGGGCGCTCTCGGGGAGCTCTCGGGGCGCTCTCGGCACGCGCCGCGCGAAGGCCGCGCCGCCCGAGGCCTCTTCCAGACTCGGGAAACGGCCACAGGAGGAAAATATCCAGACGTAGGAAAATACAGAGATTGGGCTGGGGGCGATCTCCCCGACTCTTTTGGGCCGGTTTTGAGCTTTTTGGGCCTGCTTCCTAGCTCTTCTCCAGGATCCGCCCGTAGGAGGACGTGCCCGACCTAACTCAGGAGGGAAAGAAACACAGACACAATGAATCGTCGACTCCCAGGGAAATGTGCAACACTATGGGAAGTGGGGGGGGAAGGCAAAAACAAAAAAACAAAACGATATGAATAGATGGGAATGCTTTTTTATGTGTGTGTATGTATTCGTGTGTCCTGTGGCCCCTTCACCAACACCTCGTCTGGCCCCGAGCGGGCACGTCGCCGTGGGTCGGGGGAGCGTAAGACCCGGGTTTGCCAGGACTCGGGTTCGCCATCGTTTTTTGACGACCGCGACTCGGATTTTGACGAGGAGGAGTTTCGTGGGATGTCTGCAGCGGGAGGCCTCGTCAAAATGCAGGCTCGGCCTCGCCATTTTTCTGACGACCTCGTCGGGGATTTCCGAGTCCCCTGTGCCCGGGTCTTACGCTCCCCCGATATTTGTGAATATGTATTCGTGTGTCCTGTGGCCCCTTCCCTAACACCTCGTCTGGCCCCGAGCGGGCACGTCTGGCCCCTAACCTGCGGTCGAAGTGCATCTCATCAGACCCACCGCCAACTTTGAACACTGGGGGAGGGGGAGGCGTTGACGGATGAATGTGGCATGTGTTCGCTAGTTTGTTCCGAGGCCTGTAACACCTCGTGGGGCGGGCGGGCCGTCGACTCCCAGGACACCATTAATCGTCGACTCCCAGGGAAATATGCAACAATATGGGAAGTGGGGGGGAAGACAAAAACAAAAAAACAAACCTATATGAAAATATGGGAATGCTTGTATGTGTGTGTATGTATTCGTGTGTCCTGTGGCCCCTTCACCAACACCTCGTCTGGCCCCGAGCGGGCACGTCGCCGTGGGTCGGGGGAGCGTAAGACCCGGGTTTGCCAGGACTCGGGTTCGCCATCGTTTTTTGACGACCGCGACTCGGATTTTAACGAGGAGGAGTTTCGTGGGATGTCTGCAGCGGGAGGCCTCGTCAAAAAATGCAGGCTCGGCCTCGCCATTTTTCTGACGACCTCGTCGGGGATTTCCGAGTCCCCTGTGCCCGGGTCTTACGCTCCCTTGAGTGGGGCAGGCGGGTCGCCGTGGATTATGGATTAGTATCTGCCTCCAAAAGGCTCAATTGTTATCCATATCCAGTGCGCCTCGGCCTTGCGGCGCCCTTTCCAAGAAAGTCCACGACGCACTGGATATGGATATAAATACTGCCCGACCTAACACCTCGTCTGGCCCCGAGCGGGCGCGTCGCCGTGGGGCGGGCGGGCCCCGAGGTGCCGGGCCGTCCTCTCGGGCTCCTCGTCGCTCGGGCCCCTGCTCAAGGGCCCCCCACGGGGGGCGGTCGGAGAGCGGCTCGGGGTTTGCGAGGGCGGGTCCTTGCTTGGCATCGCTCGCGTGGGGGGGGCGCTCCCTCCTCCTCCTCCTCCTCCTCCTCCTCCTCCTCCTCCTCCTCCTCCTCCTCCTCCTCCTCCTCCTCCTCCTCCTCCTCCTCCTCCTCCTCCAGGACCCAGCCCCCCCCGGGACTCGGGCGTGTGCATTTTTCCTTCGGCGAGAACCATCGAGGAGCATCCTTGATCGTTTGGCGAAAGAGCCACGCACGAAACCAAAAAAAACACAGGAAATGGGCGTCCGAGCGATGGCCAGTTTGTGGGGGGGGGCGTTCCCAGGGGCCAGGACCCAGCCCCCCCCGGGACTCGGGCGAGCGCAGGCGTGGAGCAAGGGGGCGTGGACCAGCGTCGGAGAGCGGCTGGGGGTGCGAGGGCTGGTCGGGCTTGTGGGGGGGGCGCTGGGGGTGCGAGGGCTGGTCCTTGTGGGGGGGGCGCTCCCAGGGGCCAGGACCCAGCCCCCCCCCCCCGGGACTCGGGCGAGCGCAGGCGTGGAGCAAGGGGGCGTGGACCAGCGTCGGAGAGCGGCTGGGGGTGCGAGGGCTGGTCCTTGTGGGGGGGGCGCTCCCAGGGGCCAGGACCCAGCCCCCCCCCCCCGGGACTCGGGCGAGCGCAGGCGTGGAGCAAGGGGGCGTGGACCAGCGTCGGAGAGCGGCTGGGGGTGCGAGGGCTGGTCCTTGTGGGGGGGGCGCTCCCAGGGGCCAGGACCCAGCCCCCCCCCCCCGGGACTCGGGCGAGCGCAGGCGTGGAGCAAGGGGGCGTGGACCAGCGTCGGAGAGCGGCTGGGGGTGCGAGGGCTGGTCCTTGTGGGGGGGGCGCTCCCAGGGGCCAGGACCCAGCCCCCCCCCCCCGGGACTCGGGCGAGCGCAGGCGTGGAGCAAGGGGGCGTGGACCAGCGTCGGAGAGCGGCTGGGGGTGCGAGGGCTGGTCCTTGTGGGGGGGGCGCTCCCAGGGGCCAGGACCCAGCCCCCCCCCCCCGGGACTCGGGCGAGCGCAGGCGTGGAGCAAGGGGGCGTGGACCAGCGTCGGAGAGCGGCTGGGGGTGCGAGGGCTGGTCCTTGTGGGGGGGGCGCTCCCAGGGGCCAGGACCCAGCCCCTCCCCCCCCGGGACTCGGGCGAGCGCAGGCGTGGAGCAAGGGGGCGTGGACCAGCGTCGGAGAGCGGCTGGGGGTGCGAGGGCTGGTCCTTGTGGGGGGGGCGCTCCCAGGGGCCAGGACCCAGCCCCCCCCCCCCGGGACTCGGGCGAGCGCAGGCGTGGAGCAAGGGGGCGTGGACCAGCGTCGGAGAGCGGCTGGGGGTGCGAGGGCTGGTCCTTGTGGGGGGGGCGCTCCCAGGGGCCAGGACCCAGCCCCCCCCCCCCGGGACTCGGGCGAGCGCAGGCGTGGAGCAAGGGGGCGTGGACCAGCGTCGGAGAGCGGCTGGGGGTGCGAGGGCTGGTCCTTGTGGGGGGGGCGCTCCCAGGGGCCAGGACCCAGCCCCCCCCCCCCGGGACTCGGGCGAGCGCAGGCGTGGAGCAAGGGGGCGTGGACCAGCGTCGGAGAGCGGCTGGGGGTGCGAGGGCTGGTCCTTGTGGGGGGGGCGCTCCCAGGGGCCAGGACCCAGCCC